TTACATCTGTCTTTTCTAATCCTCAGGTCATGGCCCTGGGATTATCATCTTCACTGCAGCCTCTCTTTACTGTAATCCTTCTGTATGTCTGATTAACTTACTGAAAATAGATTCTTCCCCATTTTGAAACCTTCAGCAGTTTGCTCAAACTTCTAATCCAGCATTCACAGCCTGTTGTGAGCAGATCTCAGGTGGCCTTTCTGATTTTATCGGACAATGATTTAGTTAGGCAGCTGAAAGAAAAAAACAGGCAGTATGGTATCATAATAGAGTTATTTATTTATGATGCAAATATCCGAATAGCTAGTTCAGGGTAAATAAATAATGGTGGAGACTGCAAAAACCTGCCTTCAAGATGGCCTCCAATGAGTCCTGCCTCCTATTCATGCCCTTGCGTAGTCCATTGCCACACTGTCAAAGGTAAAGAAAGACAAGTGTTTTGTCTCAATTACTTGGGAGTTCATTTTATGGCAGCTGGCCTGGGTTAAGGAATACCCAGATAACTGAGAAGACATTAGTTCTGGGCATATTATTGAAGGAGTTTCTGGATGAAATTAGCCATGGAATCAGTGGACTGGGTAGAGGGTCCACTCTCACCGGTGTAGGACACCATCCAATCCACAGGGGTAAGAAGAAAAAGGCAGAGGAGGGGTAAACTCTCACACTTCTTGAGCTGAAATGCCGTGGCTGAGCTGAGCCATCCCTCTTTTCCTGTCCTTGGACACCAAGAAGTTCATGGTTCTCATGACTGGCTTTAGACTTAGAGAGTGAGTCCAGTGCCCCATACCTGCTGAACCCCTTTCTCACCTCCGCCCCTTTCCGCCATTCAGTACCTGTTTTCATGCTTTGAACTTAACATCGGATTGAAGCACCAGCTTTCCTGGTTCTAAGGTGCAGATGGCAGCTTGTGGGACTTTGTGGTCTCCATAATTGTGTGAGCCCATTTCCATAATAAATTTCCTTTTCTATGTCTGTGTTTGTCCTATTGACTGTATTTCCCTAGAGAACTCTGAGTCATACACATTGTGTATGCAAGGAATCAAACTGTAATAAATCAAGTAACTTGGTTAGCAAAATAAGATAAAAGAACAAAAATCTGGTGTCAACTGATACCAAGTACACGCTGTGTTCACCTTGTAATGCTTTTCTGTAGAAGGAGAGGAAATTAAATGAATGAACTCACGTTTTCCTTTTGTTCAAATGATTGCTCACAGGGTTAAACTGTGCCCTTGCGCACAGAGGTAATGCACAAACACATTTACCCTTCTGAATTCTTTTCAGGTAAATACATTAATAAATGACAAGTAACAGCAAGACAGATGTATGACCTCCCCCCGACCACCTTTAGAATTAATCAGCCCACCCCTTTTCTGTTGGCTCTGAGATAGAAAGATTTGCATAATATCCTGGTTGCCATGGCTGATAGCATCTTCTGTGTTAGTTAACTCTTAATGGAGTAGTCATGTAAAAGCCTGTAAATGACCATATGAATTATGCATAAAGGACTCAACTCAAGCCATGCATATAAAATGGGCATTAAGAACGCAATGTTGACTTTCAGTCTTTTAAACATACCCTGTTTGCAGCTTGCTTGCCCTGTCTGTAGTCTTCTTCCAGCACAAAATGGAAGGGGAATTTGCAAAATAGATACTACTAACCAAGAAATCTAAGTTTTATACATATATAAAATGAGTCAGTTAGAAATTTTAAAAGGAATTGTATGACCCAGGGTCTGTGTGCCTTGTAGATGATTCCATGGCATTCTATGTACACAAAGACATGAAAGCCAATCCTTCAGTTTCCCATCCAACCAAGAACCACTTTGAGATTGGGAAGTGACTTGCTGCAGAGGCGAAGGAAACCAGGGGAGAGTCATGACTGCATTACTCAGGGGGCTCCAAAGAAACAGAACCAGCTAGAGATGGCTTGAGGCTCATTACGGAAGCAGCAGTCTGAGAACCAGAGGTGCTGTGTCAGAGGGCAGGAGTATTGACTATTCCAACTCAAGCAGAAGCAAATGAGCCCTTTCTCTGCTTTTTGTTCTATTTAGGCCTCCAACAGTTTGTGTAGTTGGCTCTGCTTTTTGTTCTATTCAGGCCTCCAACAGTTTGTGTAGTTGTCCACTCACATTAGTCAGTGTATTGGTACAAATATTAGTCTCTTTGGAAGCACCCTCATAGACATGCCCAGACAAATTTTATAAACTAGCTGAGCATCCATTAATTCATTCAGTCTGACACATAATATAAAGTTAATCATCACAATACTTACATCCCATCTACTGTTCTCTGATGTTACTTTGTGTCTTTTGAGGTTTTTTTGTTTGGGTTTTTTTTTGTTGTTTTTGTTTTGTTTTGTTTTGTTTTTTGTAAAGTTCAGTGTTTTGAGGCCTGGGGCCTACCACCAGCTAGGCTGAGGACCCCAGGCAGCATGTGCGACACAGTGCTGGAAGACCAGGTATGGAGCCCACTGCCCACCTGGCCACAGACATGGTGGCTGTGAATTGTCATGGGGAATGCAGGGGTGGTTTAGAGGTGTGTAGGTGGGGAACCACTGAGGAAATACATTACATGGAGGGATGACTTCTGGGGGACTTCCACAGACTGGGCCACTGCAACTGTAGGTAAATTATGGGACTGAGACTGGGTGGCTTGAAGGGGCTGAAGACAGAGGACCTCCCTATGTCAGACCAGACCTGCCCATGCAGAAGACCTGGGCTGGGCTACTTGGCATCAATCACAGCCCACTGGCGCACATGGAAGCTCAGGCTAGGGGGCTTGCCTGGCAGGACTAGGCCACAGTACCCACCAGTGAGTGTTGGGGCAGGGGGTGGGCAATATTAGGCTGGGCCGTACTGGCAGGTAAGAGAAGTGGGTCTGGAGGCAGATTCTGAGGGGAATTGGTGGGCTCATCCCTGTGAGACTCCATTACCTGCTGGTTTGTGCCAGAGCTGGAGGTCGTGACAGCTGAGTTAGGCATGACCACATAACTCACCAATACTTGTGGGAACTAGGGGTTAGAGTTGGCTTGGTTGGCACAAGCTGCAGCACCCAAGAATTGAGTGTAGGGACAGACTGGTACACAGCATCTACTAGCACTCATGAAGGCAGAGACTGGGGGTGAACTATGCTGGCCAGGGCCCTATGTCTGCTGACATGCATGAGATTTGGGTCAGGGAGGGGGCCTGGTGTGGAAACTTGGGTAACTCCTCTACTAGGTTATAGTTCCTGCTGGTCAGCACAAGATTAGGGGCTGGGTGTGGACTAGACCAGGAATGGTTGATTCGCTTGTTGGCAGGTGTGTGGGCAGCTTAGGGGGACGGACTGGGCAAAATCAGGTCAAGTTGTAGCACACAATGGCATAAATAAAAATAAACAAATCTTTATATATAAGTTGGGTTTATTGTTGATGTTTACTTGGTTGAAAAGGACATATGTCCTTGTGGACCACTGATTAGGGTGGTATGGGAGAAAGTGGATGAGACATTTCCTTCTAATATTTTCCCTTGATGTATCTGGGGGATGGGAGAGAGAAGGGGAGCAGGCTGCTCTCAGCAACCTAACCGCATCAGTATCCAGGGATGAAGAACAGCAACTGAATGTCATCCAATAGTCCCTGATGAAGAGCATGTTCTAAGGGTACTCTTTATGTGGTTTCAACAGTCCAATAGTTTTGATAGAGTTGCATCAGCATGGAGCAAGTGCCCACACACAAGAGGTACTGTCTACTTAAAAAAAAAATAAGGCATTGTGCTGAGCTTTCTCTGATATGACTTTGTGTGATGTCACTAAGGGCAAAACTAAGGTTCCCAGGTCTTCCTTGACATGTCCAGCCTCCCCAATTGTCCCACCTCCTTCTTTCCCATCATCCTCCAGCCCTGGACTGCTCAGCCGTTTCTTGAGCATATTAAGGTTGTGTCTACCTACCACCCTTTGTACTTGTAACTTGGCCTAGAATGACCCTGCTACCCATTTTTACCTTTCCTTTTCCGCATTATCATTTATATTTATTATAAAATGTTGTTTTCCCTAGAGAACTTTCCCTGGACTCTGAAATCAGTAATTCTACCATGTAACTTGGTTTTCTCTCCATCTTATCATTTCCTGATATTTCTCTGTGAGAAGGGTCTCCAAGAAGTTGAGGAAAGTATATACTCTGAAAAAAACTATGCATGAATATACTGAAATAAACTTATCTTCGAACTCCATTTTCTACACTATATAAAATGCCTATGTATTTTATCTGTTTTATTATCTCTCTTTCCCCAGGCAGGAAGTTAATATGACTTATTCTCCAATGGGTCTCCACTGTGTGTTCAGGGCCCAGAGCATGGACGAGCAGACACTTGGTGTTTGTGGAATGACCAAATGTTCTGGCGTTAATTTGGATCAATCATATTGAAATATCATAGTGGTTTATTTCCACCATAGATTCAATCCCTTTATAAATATAAGTTTCCAAGTTAAGGTCATTCATAGTTTAATGAATGTTGCTATGTGAACCAACTCAAGCTTTGGTGTCAATGTGTTCTACCCTGATGTGTATATTTCAAATTTTTGGGCTGAGAAACCTAAAAATGTTACTTGAGTCCTAATTTTGGGTGCTGTGACTGCCTTGCCTTTCTCTGGACTCCAAGGACTCAGTCCAGGTCTTCTGGGAGCTTTTCTTGATTGGCCACTCCAGGGTGAAGAACTGCTGTCCCTCCCTTCTTTTCTTCTATAGCACTTTAGGCAGTCTGCTCCCTGGGCATAGAAGATAGGATGGCTGTTAGTCCTGCCACCTGGACTGTAGTTTTGGGAGGCTGGTGCCTCCAAGGGCAGAGTGAGGATCTGTGCCTTTTGCAGTCCCTGGACCCATTTAGACAGCATTTGTTGTTTGGATTTCCTGTTGGCTGACAGACTCAACACCCCTCCCCCCCTTTTTTTTCTTCTCTGATTTCACTTGTTTCAAAATGAGTGTAACTCCTAGCAAAGAAGGGACCCAAGAAGGTCAGGCCTTACCTTTGGTCATGGTCGTGACAATGAATCAGGGCAGAGTTCAGAGGTAGAAGTCTCCAAGATACCCGAGGTGAGTGAGGGGTTTTCCCTTTTCCCTGTGGTTGAGGTCATCCAGTGAAGTCATTGTTAGCCAGAAATCGGTTGTAAGAGATCTAGATCCCTTTCCCTCCCATAATAACTTTCCAAAGAAGACCAAGACCAGCTGAGATAACACCCAAGTTTAGCCAATGCCCCTGGACAGACCCACGACCATCTCCCTTCATGGCCATCATTTTAAATGACAGATGAGGATGCGACAATTATAGACATCTGACATTTTAATTCCTGAAAAGGTTTGAGCTCTCAGTGAAATTGCATCCTTAGTATAAAGATATATTAAAAGCTTTATTTTTCCCAGGAGTAGACAACATGCTTCTCTCTGTGGAGAAACATGTTACTAATGGGTGATGCTCTTGATGAGTGAGGGGCCTTTCAGTCATCAGCCTGGGCATGGTGCAGCCTTCTGAGGAAGGTGGACACAGGGAAGTGAGAAATCCAGTGAGAATTCCCTTCCCCCAATCTCTCCATGGTTACACATCCGTGTTGCTAAGACTCCTTCCTGACGGTTAATACTTGGTCAAGACACAACACAGTGGATTATAGCCATGTGCCCTCATGGCCCCTCCCTGGAGTCTCCTGATAATGTAACTGTCCTATTGTAGAACTTTCCATGTCATTTGTTTGTTGTTATTGTCGTTATTTTCGCCTGTATCTGTGACATCACCAGGTTGATATATATATATTAAACTAGCAAAAAATAAATTAAAAATCATTTGCTTTCTTTGTTTCGAGCTAAGCCATGGCTCCTCCTTCTGCGGCTGTGACAATGTGAGTGAAGCCGTTTCAGCTCTTGGCTAATCAGTCAGATTCTGTCGTTGCTTGAGCATTTGGAGTGTGAATTCTAAAGATAACTCAGGGAACTGCTCCTTCATCAACCGAGGGAACGGGTGCAGGCTTCAGGGTTGTCTGTGCTCGAGATAATGGCAACTTGATTTTCTCAGGTCACATCTCCCCTGTCAGGAAAAAAAAAAAAGTGTTTCCTGCCAACCTTGGAGGGTGAGGACTGTGGGTGGATGCATGGCTGGGGGATGGTTGCCGCAGGCACATGCTGTGACTAAAGAAGAGGCCTGGTTGCTGGGCAGCCCCTCCTGCAGTGTGGCTGTGTGAGCCGCGGGTGAGGCTGGACTCTGGCTGGCAGGGTTCTAGGGGCATGGCTGGAATGTGCATCCCCTCGAGCAGAAGGCAGTCACTCAGTAGGATGCTTTCTGAGGGTTTCTAGCACACTGTCAAGACACATTTGTCACCATGTGAGCTCCTCTGGTGACTTCCCTTCACGGGAGCTGCGGCTACTTCTGCTCCTGTTAGGAAAAAACAACAACAGCAGTGATTACTAATGCTTATTAACGTTAACTATATGCTGAGTGGCACACAGTTCCCATAAGAGCTCACTGAGATGAGTGTCTTAGTCACTTTTCAGATGGGAATCAAATACAGAGAGGTTCTATTTAAGGGAAAACATTAGCAGTCCTCTCCCCATTGAAAGTGATGCTTTGCAAAACATCTCAGCTGTTCGGTTTCCCATTGTCTAGGGATTTTTATCATTCTGGCTCTGTTTCTTGGTTTGTCTCTCTCTTCAGGACCCCCTCACCCTAACCTTTTTCCCAGGCCCAGCCTTGCCTCACCCCAGCACCCATCCAGCCTTGTGGTACCTAGCTAGGTTTCATATCTGCCAGGATGTAGGGGCAGAAAAGATGTTTGAGTGAGAACACCTGGACTTCTTGTTAAGCCAAACACTTAGGCACCAGGCAGATCTCTCTACACAAGTCTAGGCAGAACATTTTCATCATCTGTGGATTCTTCCTGTTTTCCGGGACTTGAAGAGATAAAATGGAGCCCATAGACAATAGTAGTTTCTTGAATACTTATGTAAAACATTCCCTCCAAAATGTTACTCAGAGGTCAGCTTCTCGGGGAAACTTCCATTTGGCTATCTACCTGGACTGGTGTTCCTCCCATCCAGCTGGGTGCCCTTTATCACCTCTACACCTTGCATCATTCAGTGGGAATCTCAGCCATTTGTCTTCTCCTATTCTTCATGAGCCATCCACACTTGCCCTCACAACCACAAATTAAGTATGCCATACCTTCCTGCCCTGTGCTAATCGCCCTTGCTTCTCCTCTCAGCCTGTTACCTTATTTCCATAAGCAAATGATAGATTCCAGAGGGCATCTACAAATTCTGAACTCCCAGTACTGACCCAAGACTGAGCAGAAAACAAGTGGCCTGGAAACAGACCCTGCTGTTGTTGGCTCTTCACTGAAGGGCCATCCACTCTTCTGGTGTTGGGTTTAGGCTTTTCTACAAAATTGTGGTCTATTGAGGTAAGCATTTGTGGCTTAGTAAGTTAAGCAGCCACTTGCAAGGTTGTCATGCCACATCAGAGTGGCATTGTTTCTCTGTGATCCAGCTCTCTGCAGATGCACCTGTGAAAGCAACAGGTGATGGACTAAGTGCTCCTGCCACCCGCATAGCAGATCCAGGTGGAGTTCTTACCTCCTGGCTTCTGCCTGCTACAAACCTGACTTTGTGGCATACTGGGGAAGTGAACCAGCAAATCAGAATTCTGTGCCTGCCATTCTGCTTCTCAAATAAATAAAATCTTAAAAAAAAAAACACAAACCATCTTTCATACATTGCCTGCTATCAATGTCGTTTATGAATTTGGAAAACTCTTCTACTTTACTTTTCTAAGTCTTATTTTTAAGAGCAGTTTTAGTGTTTTTTTTTTTTTTTTAGGAGTTTAGGTTCGCCACAAAATTGAGAGGAAAATATAGAGACATCCCATATGCACAGCCTCCCCATCAACATCTCACATCATAGCAATACATTCATTACAGCTGATGGACCTCTAGTGTCCTGTCATTACCACCCGAGGTTCTTACATGCCCATTGAGTTCACATTTGGTGTTGTATGATCTATGTATGTAACATTTCATGACATGTAGCTAACACTGTGGCATCACACAGAACAGTGTCAGTCCCCAGATCCCCTGTGCTGTCTCTGTCCATCCGTCTCTCCTGGCTCCTTATAACTACGGATCTGCTTATGATCGAGCATATGCTGCTACACAGCTGGAATCATATAAGGTCCGTAAACTTTTCAGATTCTGCTTTATATTTTCATTTTTCAGTTGACTCTTTCACTGGATTCTTCCCATCCTGAGCGTTTAGGGCAATCACGTAGTGCAGTGGCACTGGGATGCAGAGAGGAAAGCGAGAGAAGACAAAAAGAGAGGAAGATCTTCCGTCCAATGATTCACTCTCCAAATAACCACAATGGCTGGAGCTGTGCTGGTCCAAAGCCAGGAGCCAGGATCTCTTCCAGGTCTCCCACATGGGTGCAGGGTCCCAACGTTTTAGGCAGTCCTCGACTGCTTTCCCAGGACACAAGCAGGGAGCTGGATGGGAAGTGAGGCTGCTGGGATTAGAACCGGTGCTCATATGAGATCCTGGTGCATTCAAGGCGAGGACTTTAGCCACTAGGCCACCATGCCAGGCCTGGAGTCTAGCCCAGTTTGGTGCTAGTGAACCCAGTCAACACTTGTGCCAAGGGACACTGCAGCCATGTCTAGACCAGATTGCACCCACTCCGACCCCCTGCACTCACCAGAAAATCCCCTTTGCTCCCCAACACCCACTGGTACTCGTGAGAACCAGGATAGGTATAAGACAGGCTGGGCTAGGTCTCTACCCCTACTGAGGAATATGTGTGCTGTGTCTGAGTGTGGACCAGGCTTGGCTGAACTGTAACACCCAACAGTAAAAACCGGGATGGGTGAAGGCCAGTCAGGAAAGGTCACTGTTTCTGGTAAGACAGGAGGTGGACTAAGTAGGGCTGGGCCATGGACACTGGTGTGCATGAGATCCGGTATTGGGAAAGGTTATAATGGAGGAGCTTGGGGAATGCTTGGGGAACTCTTCAGTTGGGACACAGTTCCTGCAGGTGAGTGCAAGAACCAAGAAAGGGAGCAGCCCAGAACAGCCAGGTAATGGTATCCATCGGCATGCATTTGGTGCAGATCAGAGGCAAACCAGGCTGGGCCAGTTCACATCACCTGCTGGCAAATCCAAGCACCAGAATGGAGTGTGGGTAGGGCCAGGCTGGGCTGCAACACAAGTCAGTTTACATGAGGGCCAAGACCGGGGGCCAGTTGGGCTGGCTAGATGTTGATGTCTGCAACCTTAAGTGGAAGACTCAAAGGCTAGTTTGTATCTCAACAACTGGGGACCGAAATCATCTGAAAGCTAGTTCACTCACACTTCTGACTGTTGGCTGAAACCTCAGCAGAGGCTGCTAATTCACAAAACTTCGTCTTACAGTCTAGTCTTCTCTCTGGTGGCTAGATTACAGTATGTGTCCCAAGAGACAGAGCCAAGTGAAACTGCTTCACCTTTGCTAACCTGGTCCCTGAGGCTACACAGCATCCTTCCCTCCACATTCAATCCCTATGGGGCCACCCACTAGAGGGAAGGACAGATGGATTCCAGCTCTTGGTGGAAAGTGATTTGAGCATTATGACTGCAAATATTACAGTAAATGGTTTTGGAAAACAGAAACTGCCATACTCGCTAACACCTCTGTAGATGAAAATAACTAGAGCTGTCTCAGAATCATGGTTGACATTTAGAGGGACTTGACCACCATCACAACGTAGACCTTGACCAGTCACCACAAGAAGTGGCTTTGCATTTCGGTTGTGCATCATGGACTAATTCTTGAATAGGCGAGGAAAAGGTAGGGTAGAGAACGTGTGAGTATTCGGGGCCTGTCACTCAGTGCCGTTGTGTGACGAGAAATGATTCAAGTAGTTTAACAACCTACTATAACATATTATTTGAGTATCAGCTTTGCTCATAGACTCTTTCTGAAGACTGAATAAGATATTGCACAACATTTTGCACTTGACACATGG